CTCCTCCTCCTCTTCCTCCCCCACCCCTCCCCCTTTCGGCGGTGGACAAACCTCTCTTTAGTAAACCACCCTTCAATGAAAACGGCCCAGGACCGAAACCGACAGACCTAGACCCGCAAACATGACGGCCGCGACGCCCCCTCGCGAACCGAAAACGGCCAATTCGCTAATCGACGTGTCAGGGTAGGAGGTCTATCAAACGACCGACCTCCCCTCCTCCTCACCACTCCCCCACCCCCCCCTTCCCCCTCGTTCCCCTCCTCCTCCCCCTCCACCGTCCCCTCCTCCTCCTCCTCCTCCTCCTCCCTCATTCTCCTCCTCCCCTCCTCCTCCCCTCCTTCCCCTCCTCCTCCTCTCCTCCTCCTCTCCTCCTCCTCCGCCTCCTCCTCTCCTCCTCCTCCCTCCTCCTCCTCTCTCTGCCTCCCCCTCCTCCTCCTGCTCCTCCTCCTCCTCCTCCTCCTCCTCCGCCTCCTCCTCTCCTCCTCCTACCTCCTCCTCCTCCTCTCCTCCTGCTCCTCCATCCTCTCCTCCTCCTCCTCCTCCTCCTCCGCCCGCCTCCTCCTCCTGCTCCTCCTCCTCCTTTCCTCCTCCTCCTCCTCCTCCTCTCCTCCTGCTCCTCCTGCTCCTCCTCCCTCCTCCTCCTCCTCCTCCTCCTCCTCCTCCTCCTCCTCCTCCCCCTCCTCCTCCTACTCCTCCTACTCCTCCCTGGAGCGGCGCAGCACGGGTCTGTGCCACGAGCTGCACGCCGACAGCTGGCGAGCGGCTGCAGCGTGGCGACGACCAGCGCGACGACACCTGCAGGCGTCATCAGCTGGCACCACAAGCGTCGCCCCAGCGCCGGACCAGCGGCCCGACCCGACCCTTCGGTGGCAACTCATGTAGGGAAACGAGCTCTATACACCGACGCTTTTTCCGACCCTGCGCTGAAGCTCGCACAGGAACGCGTATCCTGGTGTATACGGGATCCCGGTGTATACATGTTTCGTCGTTTCCCTTGGAAAACGGGGGAGAAGTATACACCACACCACCCCGACGTCGTCCCCGACCCTCAGAAAGTCGTGGGATTGAACAAACAATCCGCCACTGATAATGCATACGCTTCAGTTTCCGATCATGGGAGCCGCCCACACCATCGTGCCGGCTCTTGCGAAACGGCGCTCATCGGCGCCAAATCGACGCAGTCGACGCCAAGTCGACACCTATCGACGCTCAGTCGACGCCCACGGGCGCTGGCCGACGCTAACTCGGCGCTATCTCATCGACTCCCAGACGCCAGTCGACGCCAAGCGACGCTCAAGACAACAGTGCGAGGGCACACCGAGGCTCCCACGACCTGCCACCGAACGACCCCCTCGCGCGGCAGGCGGCTGGGAGCAGGCGCCTCCAGGCCCGCGGAGGTTCTACATCTAATCCGCGTCATGCCTGGCCGCGGGGGGGCCCGCGCGCGCCGCGGCGGGCGCCGCGCATGCGTCCCCACGACGCCAGGAGGGACTTCGCGAAACGCGCCAAGGAAGGGGCCCAGGGACACACAAAGAAATGCACACAAATCCTGCCTCCCGCGAGGGGCGAGCAGGGGCCAGCGGCGCCACGTTACAGAACCGGCAGGGGCCAGGCCACCCTACGGCGTGCCCGGAGGAACCGCCAGCAATCACCACCAACAGGCAGCCGTCTGCAGCCAGCGGCAGGCAGTAGCAAGCAGCCCGCCCTATCCTCTTCCTTCTTATCCTCTCCTCATCCCCATCCTCCACGCCATCCTCCACCCGCTCCCCCCCCCCTGTTCCACCCCGCCCCATCCCTCTCCTCCTCTCCTACCTTCCCCTCGCCCTTTTCCCCTCCCCCCCCTCGCCCCGCCCGCACCACACCAGACTTAGCCCCAAGATTCACCGTACTTTCCGGTCCGCCGGCCCCCTTGTGGGGCCATCAGGTTGCGAGGACTAGGTTTCAGCACCCTGCACCAGTTCCAGTTTCCAGTCTCCAATGTTACAATCCTGCTCTCTGCTTCCTGCTGTAAATTGTTGAAGTCCGCGCCAGAGGGGACAACGAAAAGCGTCCGGCTACCACCCCCGAATCGGGTGCTCTGAATTCCTGCGGGGCCGTGGGACTGTAAAAATACATAAGATCCGCACTCCGGACACAAAAACCCCTCGTAAATTACACTGTCTTCGCATATAAATTGTACCACATTCGCGTCTCCGAAGCCACGATTTCTTATGAATGACAACAAACTCGCGCCCCTGAGGCCACGATCTCCTGCAAATTGTGCTACATTCGCGCCTCTGGGGCCACGCTCCACCGCAAATTACACCACATTCGTGCTCCCGACGCCACGATCCCTTACACATTGTACAATGCTCGCGTCCCCGAGGCCAAGATCCCCCGCAATTGCACCACATTCACGCCCCCGAAGCCACGATCCCTTGCAAAATACACCATACTCGCGCCCCCGAGGCCACGACCCCCCGCAAATTACACTACATTCGCGCCTGTTGGGCGACGATCCACCGTAAATTACTCCACAATTGCGCCCCCGAGGCAACGATCCCTCGTCAATTGCAAAATGTTCGCGTCCCCGAGGCCACAAACCCTCGCAAATTATACAATTCGCGCGTCCCCGAGGTAACAAACCGTCTTAAAATGCACAACACTCGCGTGCCCGAGGCCATTAACCATCGCAAATTACACCATCCTTGCGCCCCCGAGGCAACAGATCTTCATAAATTACTCAAGTCTTGCATGCCCGAGGCCAACAAACCCCCGCAAAATATAAATGACTCGCGTCCCCGAAGGAAGACTCCTCCGCAAATTATGTTATGTTCGCGTCCCCGAGGCCACACACGCTCGCAAATTGCTCGATAATCGCGTCCCTGAAGCCAGAATCCCTTGTAAAATACACAATAGTTGCGCACCCCGGGCCACTAATCCTCGCAAATTGCTAGATGTTCGTGTCCCCAAGGAGGCAACAAACCCTCTGTAAAATGTGCAATATCCGTGTCCACGTGGCCATAAGCCCTTGCAAGTTCGGCCATGCTCGTACTGCCGAGGCTGAGAATGCTCCAAGGCGCCCGAATATGATTCCAAGACGGCCCGCGAAGGCCCCAAGCGGCCCCAAGAGCGCTCCAAGAGGCCTTCCGAGGGAGCTCCAAGAGGCCAACATCGTCGATGTTACAAAGGTGTTTGAAGAAGTGTGGGGTTCTCGCATGTTCGGCTTTCCGACGCTCCGAGATGGCTCAGGAAGCTCCCAAGAACGCCCCAAGACGGCCCAAGACGCCTCCAAGAGGGCCCCAAGACGGCCCGAGAGGGCTCCGAGATGGCCCAAGAAGCGTTCCGAGAAGCCCCGAAAAGCCTCCAGGAGGCTTCAAGAGGCCCCAAGAGGCGCCCAATAAGCGCCAAAGAGGCCTCCAAGAGGCCGAAAAGACACCCCACGAGGCCCCAAGAGGCCCCCAAGAGGAGCCGAAACCGCCTCTAAGAGGCCCCCGAGAGGCTCACCACGACACTCCAACACATATACAAGAGGCCTCATACCCACAACCCAGACACGATGGCGGGATGGGCCGAAGGCCATTAGGATCCGGCGCCCCCTGTCGATTCATCGCAGGGGTGCCTGGCATGCTGAACCCTCTCTGGTTTTGGTGTTGGTTCTTTTTCCAAACTCCCCCTGAGGCTCCGGCACGTCCCGCCGGCCACCCGGAAACTGCATCAGTCAATGCCTGAAACGGCCATTTCGCTCGGGACATCCTCAAAAAATCGCGAAGATGGCCCAAGATGGTCTCCAAGTCCGCCCGAGATGGTCCAAGACGGCCTCCCAAACGGCCCAGGAGAGTCCACGACGGCCCAAGACGGCCCAAGAGGCCTCCAAGACGGCCCAAGAGGCCGGAGGGCCCGAAGAGGCCAAAATCATTGATTTTCCTCAGGTGTTTGAAGGATTTTGGAATGTGCTTCTTCTCGGCATTCCGACGGCTCAAGACGGCCCAAGAGGCCCCCAAGATCGCCCAAGAGGCCCCCAAGAGGGCAAGACGGCCCCAAGAGGGCCCCAAGACGGGCCAATAGGCCTCCAACACGCCCAAGGTGGCCTCCAAGACGCCCAAGATGGCCTCCAAGACGGCCCCGAAGCGCCCCAAAAGGGCCCCCAGTCGGCCCAGAAAGGCCCCCAAGACGGCTCCCGACGGCGTCAGACGTGCCAGGAACCCACCAAGATGGTCGAAGTTGGCTCGCCGCTGGCCCAAGACGGCCCAAGAGGCCCCCAAGAGGGCCTCCAGCAAGGCCAGAAGAGGCCAAAAACCTTGATTTTCCTAAGGTCGTTGACGGATTTTGACATGTCCTTCTTTTCGGCCTTCCGACGGCCCGAGACGACCCAAGAGCCCCCAAAGAACGCCGAAAGATCGCCCAAGAGGCCTCCAAGATGGCCCCAGAACGGCCCAAGAGGGCCCGAAGACGGCCCCAAGAGGCCCCCCAAGACGGCACAGGAGGCCTTTAAGACGCCCAAGATGGCCTCCAAGACGGCCCTAGAGCATTCCAAGAGGGCCCCAAGTCTGCCCATAGAGGCCCCCCAAACGGCTTCCGACGGCGTCAGACGGACCAGGAGCCCACCAAGACGGCCGAACATGGCCCTAAGATGGCCCAAGACGGCCCAAGAGGCCTCCAAGAGGGCCTCCAGGAAGGCCCGAAAAGGCCAAAATCATTGATTTCCCATGGGGTTTTGAAGGATTGTGGCATGTGCTTTTATTCTGCCTTCCGACGGCCCGAGACGGCCCAAGTGCCCCCAAAGATCGCCCAAGAGGCCCAAGACACGGCCCCAACAGGCCCCCAAGACGGCCCAAAGGTCTCCAAGTCTCCAAGACGCTCAAGATGGCCTCCAAGACGGTCCAAGAGCCCTCCAAGACGTCCTCCAAGAAGGCCCGAAAGGGTCAAAATGGCCTCCAGACGGCCAAGATGACCTTCAAGATGCCCACGTGTTCCCCGAAGGCTTTCCAAACCGATTCGGAGAACACATGGTCCGATAGCTTGGCAGATCTGGCCTCAACGTTCGGCCACATAGGCGCTTCCAAAAAGGCAGGGGGCGGCGGTGATTCGCCGTAGGCGTCTTCGATCCGCCGCCCCCTTTTGATTCATCACAAGGATGCCTGGCGTGCTGAACCCTTTCGGTTTTGATTCTTTCCACAACGACTCCCCCTGGGGCTTCAACCCGTCCCGCCCGCCACCCGAAAAGATTGCCCAGGACCTCAATCCCCCCAAAAATCCTCCAACACGGCTCAAGATGGCCTCCAAGATGGCCACGTTGGCCCAAGATGGCCTCCAAGATGGTCCAAGATGGCCTCCAAGTGCGCCCAAGATGGTCCAAGACGGCCTCCAAAACGGCACAAGAGAGTCCAAGATACCTCCAAGGTCGCCCGAGAAGCCCCCAAGACGGCCCAACACGACCCAAGAGGCCTCCAAGAGGTCCTCCAGGAGGGCCCGAAGAGGCCAAAATCATTGATTTTCCCTGGGTGTTCGAAGGATGTTGGCGTTTGCTTCTTCTCGGTATTCCGACGGCTGAAGACGGCCCAAGAAGCCCCCAAGATCGCCCACGAGGCCTCCAAGATGGCCCCATGACGGCCCATGAGGCCCTCAAGACGGCCCCAAGAGGGCCCCAAGACGGGCCAAGAGGCCTCCAAGACGCCCACGATGGCCTCCAAGGCGGCCCCGAAGCGCCCCAAGAGGGCCCCAAGCCGGTTCAGACAGGCCCCCAAGACGGCTTCCGACGGCGTCAGGCAGGCCAGGAACGCCCTAAGACGGTCAAAGAGACCCGCGAAAAGTCCCAAAAAGGCCCCAAGAGGCCCTCAAGAGGCTCTAAACAAGCCCAAGATAGCACCAACATGGCCTCCAAGACAGTCCCAAGATGGCCCGATCGAGCCCAAGAGTGCCTCAAGAGGCTCCGAGGCATCCTCCCCCTTCTCCTTTTTCCTCCTTCTCCTCCTCTTCCTCTTCCTCCCCCACGTGTTCCCCGAAGGATTTCCAAACCGACTCGGGGAACACATGGTCCGATAGCTTCGCCCCCCGAGATGCCTCCAAGACGGCCTAACATCCCTCTGAACATCAGTAGCCGTACAACACGATTCTGCTATGTCGAGACATTCAAAACACCTTTCAATGGTTATGGCCGCTCGTTGTGTAAGGAGATTCCAAATACTGTTCAAGGAGGCTCTCTCAAGTACGGTGAGTAAGGCCAAATCGAAGTCCTCACTGCGGTCATGATCACTCTCGTGTTCCCCGAAAGCTTTCAAACGCAACTCGGGGAACAAACACCCCAGTAGACAGGACAAGTTGCAGTCACAACGTTCCGACACATAAGCTCTTCGAGAAAAGCAGGAGGCCTCCAAGATGGCCCCATGATGGCCCCATGATGGCCCAAGAGGCCCACAAACTGGCCCCAAGAGGGCCTCAAC